TATTCACTCCAAGCTCATCTCCTTACTTACTATTTCATTTGCTTTATGGTTTATGTTGTCTTGCCACTGCCTCAACTCTTTATATATATGGCCATAGGTGCTGACTCACCTAAGCTAATGGAGAATTTATCCATATAGGTATCATTACTTAGGCCCTTAGACCCTTTACCTTGCTAACTTTATCAATTGCCACCCTTTGCTCCAAAATGATCTTAGCTCCTAAGTAGACAACTCATACAACTTAAGCCCAATTCCACTTTGCCCATGCAATCTACTAATTCCATGACTATGTTTTGGTTTGGCTCAAATAATATAAGTACATTGTTATGTTTTGGTAAAATCAATGCCCCTTAATTCAAATTATATTACATTTAGTACATATAATTATGAAATTAAATATTTTGTTATATATATATATACTAGTGTATGTCCGTGCCTGAAGGCACAGTACAATTAATAATGAGATTAAAATATAAATCAAAATAAAATTATTAAAACATAATGGTAAAATTTTCTTTGTTCGATCTTCTTTTTCAATGGTGGTGGACAGTCACAGAGCGGAGGTCGCGATGTGAACCTTATTTCAACACCTATTTCAAAAACTTTTTCAAAATCATAAAAAACAACACTCATTTTCCATTAAGGAATTAAATCCATTTCATAAATCAAACTAAAAATAAAAATACATTTCTAAAATCAAAACCCATTTTATGAAGATCAAATATTATTTCAGACCCAAATCAAATCAAACCAAACCAAATAACATAGGTTACACCTATAAAACAACAAAAACAAAATCATAGGTTCCAAATGCGTATAGATCATAGATTTGGATAGGAATTTTAAATAAATAAATAAAAAATGGTAAGGGAAATGTCAATGAAATATAAGCTAAATTTTTTATCCATTTATCTCACCTTTCCCTTTTACAATGCAAGGGAAGGGAAGCCTCCATCTATTTACAGTGATGTTACTTCTTTACAATTACCAATAAGTAACCAAACAAATGTGACATCACAACCCACAACTATGAGTGCCAAAAAATCACAAAAATAATTTCTATAAGCATATAGAAAAACAAACCAAGCACTCTTGCTAGGGTAACTGCATTAACAACCCCCTCCTCCCTCCCTAAAAATAAATAAATAAATAAAAACAAAATACTACACACTAAACCAAGTACACCAATCAACTATTAATAAGCATGCTAGAAAGAGGCAATGCAAAAACAAATTTTCAATGTCTTAGTCTAAAAAAATTTCAATTATCTCAAATTTTCTTGGTCTTTCCCATTATCTAATCTGATACATATCTTTCCCTTCATCTATGATTCCTATCAACAGACAATAAGTAGCAATTAATAACAATCACTCTGACCAAAAGATAAAATAAAATACAATCACTGTTTCAACCCTCCATAGTGAGTGACAATTTTTCAACATGAAAAACACAATCACTCTTGCAAGTAAAATCTATTATATCATCACAATTAGATGACAACGTTGTAGCAAACAAAGAAGTCAGTGGATATAAAAAAAAAAGGCACTAATCAACCACTAATCAAGAAAATAAAAAAAAAATAAAAAAAAAGATTGCCCAGTTCTTTTGGTTGAACCCACATGGCCAGCAGGTTTTCCTAAAACAGAAGATTGCCATTGTTAAGGTGAAAAAGCAATCTGACTGCCAGAAAAGAAAAGGAAAATGTAAAATCCACAGAGACATAGCAAGTTGAATACCAGATATTCATTGCAAGCAAACTACTCTACAGTTGCTACATAAAAAGACCAATCAAACAAAGGGTTCCCATTGCAAGCAAGTTGTGGCCCTTTCTATTACCAATAAAAGTATTTGTCAAAGTTTTCATTTTTATGAATACCCAATTTCCCATATTAGAAAATCAAAAATCACAGCCCGATTTTTGTTTATAAGTTTCATTGCTTCTGTATCCTAACTCCTCGTCAATCCTATCAAGCACCCTTGTCTGATAAGGTTTAGAAGGGACAACTTAACTGTATTGTACTCATGTCTACTACTTTTCAACAGCATTATCTCTGATTTTAAACAAAGCTTCAACATCACAGCTGGCAATGTTGTATCAATAGAGATCAAAGAGAATAATGGTTATAACTATTCTTTCCAAACACCAAAAATGAACATGCACTCAATTCAATTATATCCAACTAAGCCTGATCCTAACTTCACATATACAGAACATTCATGATCCAACGATCACATAAACCAGACACTTGTTAGCCCACTTACATACTACACATTTTCAATTTATTTTATTTTATTTTATTTCCACAACACATAAAATGGAACATTTATAAGAATTCAATCAAACATAATATTGAATTATAGAAATGCTCACACAGAGCTATATCATTAGTAATTTCAATTCAATTATCTGAATGAAACATGTTTCACTGCACATTTTCCTCATAGGCTACTAAGAATATAAATTTAGAACAGTTTCATTACTCCATTCAGAAATCTGATATACATATACCTTCAGGAAGCGTCTGCAGCCTTGGCAACCCGACCTCAATGCCATCGACAACATAAACTTAACTGTATTGTACTCATGTCTGCTACTTTTCAACAGCATTATCTCTGATTTTAAACAAAGTTTCAACATCACAGCTGGCAATGTTGTATCAATAGAGATCAAAGAGAATAATGGTTATAACTATTCTTTCCAAATACCAAAAATGAACATGCACTCAATTCAATTATATCCAACTAAGCCTGATCCTAACTTCACATATACAGAACATTCATGATCCAACGATCACATAAACCAGACACTTGTCAGCCCACTTACATACTACACATTTTCAATTTATTTTATTTTATTTTATTTCCACAACACATAAAATGGAACATTTATAAGAATTCAATTCAGCATAATATTGAATTATAGAAATGCTCAAACAGAGCTATATCATTAGTAATTTCAATTCAATTATCTGAATGAAACATGTTTCACTACACATTTTCCTCATAGGCTACTAAGAATATAAATTCAGAACAGTTTCATCACTCCATTCAGAAATCTGATATACACATACCTTCAGGAAGCGTCTGCAGCCTCGACAACCCGACCTCAACGCCATCGACAACATATTCAATTGCAATGCACAAAGCACTCCATATTCAATTGCAATGCACAAAGCAGAAATTCAAGGAAGTCTAGTGAAACTTAAAATCAAAATTCCTCACTTTCTTATCCAACTTCTCAGAGATGATCACATGTTTAAGATTAGCATCCTTCCTCTTTTTAAGAACTCCATCCCTCTTCTTTTTGGCACTCTCATGCTCTTCCACCATCCAAAAACTCTTCTACTTTCTTTAAACATTGAAAAGCAGATGTCAGGAAAATCACTGAAAATAAAATAAAATAAAAAAGAAGAAGAAAAAAGTGAAAGTGAAAAAACAAAGAAGAAAACTAACCAAGAGGCTGAAGCCAGTGACAGAGGCAAAGGAGGTGGCAATGGAAGCCTAGAGAGAGGAAGCTCACCAAGATGACCCACAAACATAACAGATATCACATGTAAACAATACAATAACAGATTCATTGCTGCTATTGGCCCTGCCAGACTTAACTGCTTCTTCAATTCTGTCAAAATATCATCTTTCTTGATTCCCTCCAATCCTTTTTTGGATTCTATCACCTTTTGATTTAGAATCTGTGGTGATTAAAGCCCTTGTGGATCAACCAACTAAGAAGGTAAATTCCATTGTCTTAATTTTTTTTTTTATTAATTTAGCTCCCATACAAATAGGTTTTCTCTTTTAGTGGGGCAAAATAACTAATACAATATGATCCTTTAACTTGACATCATACAACAGGGAGATTCTTTCTGTATTGTCAAATTTCCAAATATGTCGATTGTCAAGTTTCAGATTCATAAATTCTTTAATTGTGAAAAATTGATCACATTCATCTTATTAAATTGTTGACCAAAATTTGAAAATTTTCAACTACACAGAGCTTGTCTTATTCCATGCAAGAATTTGTTTTGATACCCCTTAGGCGTCAACCATCTAATTTTTTCTTCAGTGAACTCCATATTCAATTGCAATGCACAAAGCAGAAATTGAAAGAAGTCTAGTGAAACTTAAAATCAAGATTCCTCACCTTCTTCCATCTATGACATTATTTATATTTGTGGTATATGACTGTAGTTGGGAGGCTTTAAATGCATCCTAAAATTTTAAGTGCATTTAGAGCCTGCCTTATAATTGTATGCATACCTAGTAATTCATGGTTTCATATATTGATTTTTGGGAAATTTAAAAAAGAAAAAAAAAACTTCAAAATCTTGACCTTGGTAACAAATCTATCTTAACTTGAAATTATTTTAATTCTAACCATTCATTTCTATGGGCCATTTAAACAGTCTAACAATTTTTTCCCTTTATTTTGGTGTTGACAGTCATTTGCTACCCTTACCATGATCCATCACTACCCCCATCTCTTTTCCCCATCTACCACTACTCATTTTCCTCACAAATGGGCATCAAAACGTCTATTTCTCTAACCCCAGTAAAAAACAATGGTCACCACCACATACATCAATTTCATATGGTACTGTCAAAATTTCACAGGTCATGTATCTCACCAACTTAAGGTACGACTCTACAAACCCATATCAGTTACTTTGGGCTTTGTTTAAAAGGAAAGAAAAAAAATTAAATTTATGAAAAAGAAACCTAGGAGAAATTATTCTTTTGCCCAACCAAACACAAACACAAATAAAAATAAAAAAAGAGAGAGAGGTATCGCGGAAACTGACAAAGATAAAATCCTGAAATTTCAAGCAGAAACTAAAATCATTACCCAACTAAATAAAAATATACTCACAAAGATAATATATATAAAAAATGTATAAAATCCAGATTCTTTGTAAAAAATCTATATATAAATAAAAAAAATCTATACAACATATATCCAAATAAAATCTATACAATCTATATCCAAATCCTTTGTAAAAAATCTATAGAATCTGTAAAAAAAAAATCTATACAATCTATATCCAAATAAAATCTAGTACATAGTCACCATATAAAATGAAAAGAGTGATCTTACCTGGAGAGCAGCAGTTTCGGGAGTGAGGGTATGGAAGAAGAATAACAGGGCTAGAGAGCAGCAGAGGGAAAATCTGAAAAGAAATTGAAAATTAAGTTTATGAATATTTGTAAGTTGGAAAGTGTCTTTATTTGAAACACACAAAATTTATATGATACAAATGGAAGTGAAGCCGAAGAGAAGGAAACTATACACAGTTAAATAGAGATTAGACAAAAAAATAACACATTAATAACCAATTGGCGTTTATTTTCACAATTCAAACTTAATGCAATTGCGCATGAATAGCATTACCTTGGAGTTGGTTGCAATAGCCCGTATTAAGGTTGTGAATTAAATTTCTTAGTGGTATTAATTAATTAATTGTATTTATATATTGATGGCCAAATTATTCTGAGGAATGGTAAGGCAATAAATGGTTCGAGTCATATGTTATAAGTTGGTGAGTTACATTCTTATATATTATGGTAATTATTTATAGTGGAATTGATGATGGATTGGAGCATGGGGCCGATGGCAAGGGCTGGACAAACTGTGATGATTTTGACTTTTTCATTTCTCCTTCCAAACTCCACTGCCTCTCTTTCTGCTGTCGTTTTGCCTAGGCAATACCACAACTAATATTTATTCATACCACCATATTCCCCCCCCCCTCAAAAAAAGAAAAGAAAAAGAGTTTAGTGCATGTACAAAAAAAATTAAAAATAAAATAAAATAAATTCTACATATGGACTTGCTAATTATTATTATCATTTTCTTAGACAAATTTCATTTTATTGATATTTGGAAATAAGTACATAATTTTCTATGATTTGTGAATTGAAATTCACTGCATATACTATTAACAACTTGAGCAAAAAGATTAAAACTAAAAGTGTGATTTTCAAAAAAATAATAATAATAATGAGAAGGCCCCAACTCTCAACCCTTGGGCTTGACTTAGCCTAATTAATTAGATAGATACCTCCAATTGTTTGCAGAATTCAGGGTCGCTCCAACAATTTTCATCCATGGGTTGATCCTTGGACAATTAGGGTTCACCATAACAACAGCAACAGATGACACCACCACCACCACCACCTTCTTCACTTTTGCCTTCAAACATGCATTTTGCACATTTCTTGTTCCTTTTATGGCCGATTCAACAAATTCTACCTGCCATGTACCCCATTAATTAATTAGAAGCGATAATATATAAATATAAAATTTTACACAAAATGAGGTGACAGATGTGTATCTATTCATCTCAAATTAAAAGAGCTATTAAAATGATTTACAATTTTTAAAATGTCATTACCACATCACTCTTGTAGCATATGTATACATATAGACAAAGGGGTAAATTAAAATTGTGAATTTAAAATCTAAGGTTAATATTGTTGAAATTAAAACAATTGGAATCAAACTAAAAATTAAGTTACAGGAATGAAAAATATATTTACCCTTTAATCTTATAAGTCTAAACAATGGAAACAATTTGCAAAGTGTGATTTGGAGAGTGAAAAAATTAAATAAATAAATAATTATTATAATAAGCTTACCTCAGGATTAGGAATAGGAATGTGTTCAAAGGGAGTTGGAGAAGCAAGATGGATAACACCAGTGCAACCAGCAATGGCAGAATAGAGACCTTCATACTCCAACATGTCTGTCTTAAATAGCTTTAGATTCTCTGTTGCATTTTCCAATTTCTTCAAAAAAGAGAGAAGGGGGGAGAGGGGGAGAGAATCTAGGGTGGTGGTGAAGTTGGTCGTGGAACAGAGGAGCCAACTCGGTGACCCAGTTCTCAATCGGAACCCTACCTTGCAAGCAGTGAACACTGAGAGAGAAAGGGGGAGAAGCGGAGAGAATTCTCAATCTGAAACCCTACCTTGGGCGCAGCGAGCATTGAGAGAGAAGGGGGGAGAGGGGGGAGGCAGGAAATGGGGGAGGAGATGTGGGTAGGTGGGAGAGGGAGAGAGCACATAGGGTATGGACGGGAATAAATCATCATCCGAACCATTCATCTTTATCAAAATTGATCTCAGCCTTTGAACCTAAATGTATCTCACATACATTTTATACATTTTCAAAATCCTTCCTCCCTTATTATATAGATATATATTGTATTAATTTAATTAAACATTTGAGGTGTTTTCCCCAAACTTGTCGTACCTTGATTTTAAAAAAAATGTGGGTATTTGACCCACATTTGATTTTCAGTTTCCCATGTAGCTTCTTCGACACGATAATTTTGCCATAAGACTTTCACTAGAGGTATAGTCTTGTTTCAGAGAATTTGATCACGGCGGCCAAGAATCTGTACTGGTTGCTCTTCATAAGAGAAATTTCCTTGAACTTCTAAATCTTCATGATCAATAATATGTTATGAGTCTTGAAAATATTATCAAAGCATTGAAACATGAACACATTGTGAATATTAGACAATTCTGGTGATAATGCAAGATGATATATTACAGAGCCAATCCTTTCTAACATCTCAAATGTCCTGATGTAACGTGGGTTCAATTTTCCTTACTTCTCACACTAAATGACTCCTCTTGTTAGTGAGATTTTAAGGAAGACATGATCTCCTACCTGGAACTCTAAATCTCGTCTCCAAGTATCTGCATAGCTTTCCTAACAGCTCTAGGTAGTGGGGATTAGCTATTGAATGAGTTGGATTCTATCACTCATCATTTGCACAATTTCGGGACCCAATAATTTCCTGTCTCCAACCTTCATCCAACATATAGGCGATCGACATTTTCTCCCATACAGCACTTCATACAGTGCCATCCTAATGCTCGCTTGGTAACTACTATTATAGACGAATTATACTAATGACAGATGTTTATCCCAATTTTGCTTAAGGTCTAATACGCATATTGGCAACATATCCTCCAATATTTGAATCGTTCTTTTAGATTGTCCATCAGTTTGTGGATGCTAAGCGGTGCTAAACTTCAATGTTGTTCCCAAAACTGCCTATAATTTATTCCAAAATTGAGATACGAACCGAGGGTCTCGATTAGATACAATGGATACCGGGACTGTCACGACCCGAACCCGCCCCTATGGGTTTAGCATCGCAACCGGCCAGTAATCCGAGATTATTGAAGGCCTGCTTAACAGTAATGACAGTAATATAGAGTAGGGGGTTGGCGGAAGCCAAACAGTAATAAAAAGATATCAAATGAGCTGTGACAAACTGAAAGCGAAAAGACTTTCATGAACAAGCCACATTCATAATCAAAACATGTATAGTTACATCATACACAACATCTAGGTTAGGGACCAAATCCCTTCACCATAACTGTACAGTCAAGTCTTAAACATTCATTACAGATCAGAGACAAAAGGGTGAAACTGAGACACCCCAAAATCAGCCTTAGCTTGAACGGACTTGGAACCTCGAAGTGAGGCACAAAGGTTGGCTTGACAAAACGGGAGCTTAACTTTACGCTCCTAGCATCGGTTCGGTGCCTGGACACCTACATATAAATATAAACAGTGAGCTAAAGCCTAGTGAATAACATATGTGTAAAGGGGTTAAGAATGAATGCCCTTTCAGTAATTAAAATAGTCAATTGTATCAGTAAATCAGTTATTCAATCAGTGGCTCATATTTCATGCCATAACAGTTATTTAGAAACCATAATAGTCATATGTGGTACATCCAGTAGCAAAACAGTACAATAGGTCCTGACAGACTGAACAGTCAGTTGATGGCCATCAATACAGTAACAATAGTTCTAATGATAGGAACTAACAGAGATCTCTGTAACAGTAGCAGTAACAGTACAGTAGCAGTAAGTTGCTATAGATGCCACGAGTACAGTTCATAAATAAGACAAACATTCATTCAGTAAACGATGCCATTTCAGAAAGCAGTATGATCAATCGTTCAGAAATAGTTATAATTGAACGTATCTTTACTACATTGTTACTTACAGAGTGATGGGCTATAGACAAGCTAGTCAGCATCCTCGGGTGCCAACCCTACACAGTTGTAGGAAGAACACACACACAAAGTTACACTCTTCGGATTAATGACTTAGCCCCTAAATCTTGACTTGGTGTGGTTCTATAACATTATCCTCATTAAGATGCCTTAAACATGGCCTAGGAATGTCTAGGATGGAATGAGGATACAAAAATGTACTTTAAAACACTTTTCAAAATTTACTGAAATAGGGGTCCACGTTCGAGCGTGGCTTTCTACGCTCGAGCAGACATGCAGACAATGGAGCTCCGCTTGAGCGCGGCTTTCCCCGTTCGAGCGGACTGTAAACTCATGAAAAGTACTGGATGCATGATATTCACGCTCGACGGACGCTCGACCTCCGCTTGAGCGTGAGACTCAGACCCTCGCTCGAGCAGATTGCAAAACACATGAACTCTGGGCATATGCATTTTACGCTCGAGCGTGACTTTCTACGCTCGAGCGGAAGTGTATGTACTCAGAGTGTACGCTCGAGCGTGAAGTCCTCAGCTCGAGTGTGGATCAAAAATCTAGAATTTCCAAATTGATCCCCAAGCACAAAACTCAACCTTTAAAGCTTCAAACTCAATTCCTTTGGGCTAATTTTCTTGAAAACACTTAGAAACCCATAATACAACATGTTTCAAAGATCAATTTATGAAATCCAACCCAAAAGTGAGGCAATTGAACACTGTGGAAAAGGTGGTTTGGAAATAGTCTTCTGATCCTGGGAGACGCTCATGATCTTCTGCTAGTCACCTCAAAAGGGATAAACACTCCGGTCGGGGATGCCGGAATTAGCACTCCGACGGGCAAGTCAATCTCAACACTCAAGATTACTTGTATTCTAAGTTAAATATACTGGTTCTCACATACCTCTCTTTGGCTGATGTTCTTCTATTTATATTTTTTCTTTCTTGGGCCTCGGGGTTAGGTCCATTTTCAATTCACTATTCGGCATATTTCGTATCGAATCGCTTTTCACTCGGCCCCTTGCTTAACCGGCTATTTGGCCGAGTAGGGTTAGATTCGAGCGTGCGAGCCGACGTCGAGTGCCACGAACGTCCAACTATCTAGAATCTCTATGATTCCAAATACTCGGCCCCCACAATTGCCCCCCGAACACTCTACTAACGACAGCTGGCTGGAGTGTTTGGCTTCGAACTCGAAAAGCCAAAGCCGAAATTCGGCGGCTGACCGTATTCCAATGCAAATGTCTGAACACACGCTTCTCGGTCATCATTTTAACTTCCTGTCTCTTCGTACACTTCTATTTATTGTGATTTAAAATTTCGACGTCTTTTCAAATACATACACGCTTTTAGACGCTCGTCGTTGGACTGCTTTCTGAATTATCTCTGCAACTTCCTTTTCTTCTCTACCCTCTTCGCCTCTTGTAAGTTCTCTCCTTCTGCTTTTAATCTTTTTCCTTGCTTTGTTTTTGGGTTAGCGAATTCCTATTAACTGGGGGAAATGGCAAAACATTTAAAAGATCTCTCATCGGATCGAATTTCTGGCTTCCAACGCCATTTCTCCATTCCTGATGACGTCCGTCTGTCACTTGTGACAGACGGCATCCTCGATATGGAGAGGGTTGATGAAACAACGATCGTCTTCCCTCTCCTATCAATCGCAGAAGATGGAGTCCATTTTCCTCTTCACCCATTCCTTAGGGCTGTGCTTTGCCATTGGGGCTTAATCCCTTCCCAACCCAATGTCAACTTTTTTAGAATCGTGATGGGGATTATCGCACTAAACCATCACCTTAGGCTTAACCTTGGCATTTCCGCCATTCGGCATTGTTATGCCTTGGCCAAGTCCTCTGGTCAGCATGGGCATTATTTCCTTAAGGCCAAAGACACCGAACATCAACTAGTGACTATGCTTTCGAGCTCTGGGAAACGAGTCGATGATGTTATGGTCGTCGTCCAAGGAAACTGGGAATTCGGCGAAGGCGAGGATCGCCTCGATCCTATTCCCAGATAGAGGGGCGAACCAGGTGGCCGTATAGCTTCTTTTATTTATTTATTTTTTGTTATACTTATAAAATTTCATTTTCGGGACCTCATGTTATTGCTTGTGTAGGAAACGATTTGAAGAAAGTCCTGACCTTGACCGACGACGCTGTTCTTTCGGAAATCAAGGTTGCACTCAAATATTTCAGTCGGTCGAGTCTTCAAAAATAGGGGAGGACTGCCCACGTTCTGCTCCGCTATGAGCCGACTTATACGACCTTTTTGACAGCGGAAAACATCCCAATTCCGAAGGGTGAGGAGTTTCTCACCGCCCTTATCTTGACTGATTTCAAAAATTTGAGGCAAGTTGGCTTCGAGGCATCAGATTCAGAGCGACCGGAAGTAGCTGAGGCCGCCGAGTCAGGCCAGTCCGAAGACGAAGTCGACGAGGCTTTGAAGTTAGCATTTGAAGAAACCGGCCTCAGTTCAGTTGACCCTCCGTCCACTTCGGGCCGAGAGGACCTTCCACTTGACGATATTTTTCATGGCTTGGAGAACCTTCTCAGCGCGTACCCAGAAGATATGTGTCACGACCCAAACCCACCCCTATGGGTTTAGCACCGTAACCGGCCAGTAATCCGAGATTACCAAAGGCCTACTTAATAGTAAAATAGGAATACAGAGTACAGGGGCTGGCGGAAGCCAATACAGTAAATAAACAATGCCC